TTGAAATTGCTATTTTTCTTCCCTTGATCTTCTCTGAAAAGAGCTCTGCAGCAGTTCACAGTTTAAAAAAGTCCTCAAGGGATTATTTAGCAGCTGAATTAAGTTGAAATTACTAGATTTCTAGTTAGCATTAGATAGTAGAAGTAAATGTCTTCACTTCTCCCCAGTTTGTAGCAAAGTTATTTTTTATGAAGACTGTTTTATCTGAGAACATATTTCCTTTAGGCGCTCTGGTTCTATAGAATTCTATTTCTGATTTAATGCACATGGAGGTACATGTGTGTTACTTTTATAATGGAACCAGAAGAAAAAAAGGAAATCTGTCCATCTGCAATAGTTTAGTGGGAAAGAGCTATTGTTTCCCAGGGTTTTTTTTCCAGCCTGTGGAAGATTGCTTTTTTCTATCTAGTTGTTATTAGAGGAAGGCAGGGAGTTGAGTGCTCCATCCAAGGAACACTGACACTAGTATGTACAAGCTCAATTGTGTAACTAATTGTCTAGAAAGGCACTATGAAACAACAGCTGGAGAAGATTAAAGCAGGTGGATTTGTGTCTTGAAGAGTCCTCTGCATGCCAAAAACCAGTATGGTGTGGCGTTATCTTTCCTGGCATGGGTTCAGGAAAAATATCTCTCCTTCACATCCTACACCTGAGATCTTGATATGAAAAGCTATAGGTTGCTTATTCCTCTTTTCAATAGATTCAGTCGCAACTTCCAAGGGTAGGAGCCGACAGGAAGAGTTCAAAGGTGGAATGTTTGTGCAGGAATTGGATGCAGGCAACTTCTCTGCTTACGAGCATTTTGCAGGAGGCAAAAGCAGATATCTCTGGAAGAGGAAAACCAAGTTTTGTTTTAGAGAGCTGATAGTTTTACTGCCTCTTTTGCTGCCAGGATAAGGTCCTCAGCTGGCATGAGCAGCAAAGTTCTATTGAAGTGCATGGAGCTGTGCCAGGTAAAGCCAGTCTAAGATCAGGCCCTCAGATATGTAGTCAGAATGCCTTCCTGAAAATGTGTGACAAAGCTTCTGCCAAGTCTGTTACTCCAAGTGGCTCTCTTAAAACGTTTGTTGCTTCAAAGAAATTATGACCTGCTGCATTTTATTATTTATTTCTCTCTCTTGCCTTCTTTTTGTATTTTTTCTTTCAACTAAACCATATTAATTTTGAGGTATAAAGCTTTCTAAAAGCCTGCATAAATTAATGAGCTAAAGCCAGCAGTGTGCAATGATGAATGTCACATAAGATTATAATCAGCATTTTTCCCAGAACTGTTGACACCTTAGAACTTTGCAGTAAACCAAATATTTTTAAAATGGTGCAACCAAATGAAAACTCTAAATTAGCCAGCAGAAGGTGGATTGCTGATGCAGTAAATCTGCTTTTCTTGTACTATCCAGGCAATTAATCCTTTATTTCAGAAAAATCTCCTCAAACCACCTGTGTGTGTTTCCAGCAGCGTGCAGATAACTTGTGAAATTTGGGAATTGTTTATCGTTCACTTTTCTCTCCTTCTGTCCCTTCTTAATTTAGCTAATAAGAAGATATAGAGGACTTCATATAGTTGTTCTCAGCCTTAGCTGAATACTCCGGAGCATTAGTGTGCTTAGTTTTAAATAGAGGAGTGTTGGTATTCCCTGTCCAGGATGTTTTTTTCCAAACATGTGCTGTGTTTTGGTTCACATATTTCATGGAATATAACTCTCAGGATATACTTCGTGCTGTGCTAGAAGCTCTTTGCATAGACTGTAAATCCTCAAGGATTTTTCAAAGTAAGAATTTTGTAACACATATTTACTATCTAGGGACCTGATCCTCTAATTAGTCCCATACAGGTAAATTCTTACACTTACATAGATGCAGCCATATTCTTTTAGCTCAGGGGTCTGCTTAGCAGATTTTCACTCAATAAATATTAAAGATCCCAGCCTCAGGAATCAAAGAAAATTATTTCTAAAATGTGGTGCTTTTAGTTAAACTTCCCACAGTGAATTTGGATTAAGACCTGATTCTACACTGAATTCATCACTCTTAATCTGCAGTGTGGGGGAAAAATCAGGCCAGTGAGACAAAAATAAACATTTTGCTCAGATCTGCCTCCTTATCTGATGTTGGAAGGTCCCATAAAAGAATGAAAAAGAGTGTTGAAATACAGCTACAAATTTTATTGGTTTTATTGGGGACAGCATATAAGAAGTCTGCATATATGGTGTGTGTCTGTGGTCTTTGACCACGAAACTTAACATGAGAAAGGAAAGTGTTGACATTTGGCAAAGAAATAGGTTCCTCCCAGCCCCCCACCCACCCACAGATACACTGTGTGTAGCAATCATCTCCTAATGTGCTTTTTTTCCCTCCAGATCTATGTGAGTGCTCTGATCTTTCATTTGGCTCTTTAATGCATCCCTGCAAATGAAATTAGTGTTCTGGGATATTGCTAAAACATCCAAGTGGCTCTTTTGCATCAGCACTGGCTGGCTTGAAATGACCTCCATAGGGAGCCTTGAAAGGGGGGATCTCACATCACAAACTGTTTGAGGATGTAGAATCAGGAAAGGAAGATTAGAAAAGGAAGAGGTGTTTGACTTTTGGGGGCTTGTCTGAACCTTCTCTTTCAGCTCCAAAGTTTCCTTAACTGGAGTCTAAATTTTTAGCACCAAAAATAAGTAGAGACAAAACTGTTCAACTCTGGGTCCTGCACATATGGTTTGATAAATAGCAAACAGCACAGCCTGGAATCCTGCATGGCTCACACTGTGTTTCCAGCTCTGTAGTAAACACGTGAATGTTTACTGCAGAGCTGGAAACACAGTGTGAAAGGAGGAGGCAGCAAGTCCTAAACTGCACTCGTCAAGAACATCTGCATTTATGAGAAGCTTTCCCTAATTGAAAATCTAGTAGTTTCAAATGCTTTCCAACTCAGAGTTTGGAAACTAGCTCAGGAGCTGCTAAGATAGCAAGAAACAGCAGTGGCTTTGAGCCCTGAGTTCAGGTTACTCCCCCAGCCTCCTTCTCATAACTTGGACATTAAGGAGGTGCTAATAACAGTTTTACAATTTCTAACAAGGGAAAAATTCTCTCAACCACGTTATTCTGTAGTTCTCTAACTCCCTGTCCTTACCATCATCTCCCTTTCCCTTCTCCTCCTCCTCAATACTTCCCCGTTTCTTTGAGATCTACTACACCAAAAATATTTTTGGAAATACCACAGACTATTGTTTTTATTAGTGACTGGAAAGCTTTGTAGTAGGATGTTTTTGTGTTTCATTTGTTTTCCTTGCTCTGGCACAGCTGTTTTTGCTTTAGCAGCATTAGAGAGATAGTTAAACTATTTGTGGCCTTTTCTAACCCAGCAGATCTCTTCCACTGAGTGCTTTAAACTGAATGACTGAGATTTTAAGTAACAGGTTGTCTGCGTGGGCAGTTTTGTGCATGGAGTTGCAAATGCACTGTTTTTATGAGATCTTTTAATTTGTTCAAGCAAAACACCAAACACTATGAAGCAAGTCCCAGTTTCCCTATAAATTTCCCAGCCAGAACACTGACAGAACCTTGACTCTGGGAAATACAGAACGAATGAAGTAGTAGATCTTGTTCAAACCTATACATGTTCAGAAATATTAATGTAGAAGAGGTTCATGTAGGTGTGCTGATCCACACTTAAGCCAAGAGGGGAAAGGAAGAAAAGCCAGAGTAGATGATGGGAGCAGAATGTGGTCTGAGGACAAATCTGCTACAAATGCCTTACTGGCCACTGTGATTACACAGAGCAGGATGGGGAATTATGAAGTGAGCATCCAGTCAGAGAATGGTGACAGCAGAAAGTGGTAAATGAAGAATGAAGAATGTAAAAATGGTAAATGAAGAATAACGAAATGTAAAATGAAAACATAAATGGAGAGTGAAAACATAGTATCTGTGCAAAGGCAAAGGGAAAAAAGGAAATGAGTTGCACTGGAGGTTTCAATGGTCGTGTCTAGTGCCATAATGTAAGGGATATTGAAAGTATGGGCTGATGAACAGAAAGAAAATGAAAGTTAAGAGTGAAACTGTGTCCTGCTAAATCCCAGTATTACCACACATTCTCACCACCTCTGCTGGGCAGACACAAGCTACTGAACTTGTGAGGTTCACAAGTTTAGAGACTCGATCTGCTTAATGGTGGCTTGGCAGTTTTGGTTCTGGCAAGGTCAAGCAGATGACAGACCTGGCTCAGTTGTTGTGTGAACTTGAGCTGGCACTGGGCAGACATGTGGATATGGAGGAGGTGGCACCATGCCTGTCAGCACCTCACAGCAGTGCAAAAGCAGCACGTAGATCAGCTCACTGATTAGAGATAATGCAGGTGGAATGGTGAAAGGACATATTAGATCTCCTACTACAGTAATGTAGAGCGTGTTTCTTGCCTCTTTATGCAATGGGTTGGGAAGCAATCGCACTTGTCAGAAACCACCTCCTTTGTGGCACTGCAAAAGAAATGGCTGAAACGTTTTTTCAAGCACATTTTTCTATGCTGTTTTTTGTATTTTTCCTTTATTAAAAAGAATTGTTTTCAACTCTCCTGTCAGTTTTGCTGGGGTCCCATCTGTGGATCCATCACTAAATGAGGCCAGGAACAATGCAGAGATAATAGTCAGTTACATTGAGAAAGAACATTCTTGATTTCCACGTCCTGTCTGCACTACTTCTCTGTAGGTGTGTGTCATCTAACAAGCTTTATTTAGCACAGCAAAGTCCAGGGAATTGTCCACATGTCTATCCCCAGACAGGGACTGTTTCTGTCCATGGGAAGGCACCTTACAAGTACAGGAGTATCAGCCATTCATCCTACAATGCCATAACAATCAATGTAGTTGCATTTAGCTCATTCCAAGTTTTTCTTCTCAATCAAATAGCAACATTTACATTTCAGCCAAACTGTTACCCCCAGCCCTGATTCTTGCCTGTGACTGGACTCCAGTTTGATATTTGCACTGACTTTTCTCCTGGCTGGCTCGTTTCAGGGCTCCAAAGAGTGCGTCAGCTGGAGAAAAACACAAGGTACTTCAGACGAAAACTGCATGAAATGGGCTTCATCATTTATGGCAATGATGATTCTCCTGTTGTTCCCTTGCTGCTTTATATGCCTGGTAAGATAGGGTAAGTACTGAAAAAACCTTGCTGGCAAAACAAGCGCTATTCAAGTTTGTGGGTTATTTGGTACACACTGCAGAAGATTATATTCTTTGTGGTAGGTGCTTCCCAGGAGAAACATACACTGTAGTTTGAATTCATCATTTAGTTCTGTTTTCTTTTTGCCCCTAGGTTTAATTTTGAGTTGTTCCAGATGTCAGAATTTAAAAATTTTTCTCTTTTCCTTTTTTAACATGGTCTGGAATAACATTTTTGATAACCATTTGATTTTTAATTTTTTTTGTTGTTTTGAATTTTGGTTATGAATTTTGGTTTTGAATTACCAAATTTAATTTTGGTAATTAATTTTTAAAGGAGACATATTGCCTTTAATGTATGAACTGGTTTACAGGATTTTTTTTCCCCATGTGATCATGTCTTGGCATGTTTTACTATTTAGTTCATTTCAAGGAGCATTCGTGCACTGACTTGGACACAGAGACCAGAAGTCAGTAGTAGCATAATGTAAGTGTTGAGCTGTAGGGAGTATTTGCAGGTAGCTGTGGGCTTTAGGTCTCATACATGCCACACAAGCCTTCCTAACTAGCAGATCAATTGTGAGAGCAAATCAACCATCACACAGATTGGTTTATTCCTACTGGTGTTCAGGAACCAAGAATTTATACCTTCCACAAGCCCAACCTCTTCCATGCTTAGGGACTGTGAATGCCCACATGGTTTGATTTGTACTCAGAGACTTTCATTGACATAAATGAATCATGTCTACCTGCAGAGCCCTCTGTGCCATCACATTTCTAGCATTTGACACCCACTTGGCTTCATGAGCCACTAAACAGCAAAGAATCTCCATCCTGCTGGTAAAATTCCGGCTTTTATGGAAATCAGTGGGAATATTCAATCAACTGAAAACAAGATTTTACCTATTGTTGCACTATATGTGAATGTTTTCTGTCTGTGTTCAGTTTATTTGGGATAATTCATTTCTTATTTTTCTCCTTCTACCTTTTCTCTCCTTAGGGCTTTTGCAAGACGCATGTTAGAAAAAAATATCGGGGTAGTCGTGGTTGGGTTTCCAGCTACTCCTATCACAGAATCCAGGGCTCGGTTTTGCGTGTCAGCTGCACATACACGGGAGATGTTAGACACGGTAAGTGCAGCAGATGTCCTGCCCAAATTAACTTCAGGTGCAAAGGAGGCTGGGAGAAGCTGTGCCTCTGTTACTTTGAATCGCAATAATTCATTTTTACATTCGTTTTTGTGACCTCATCAGTTGATCCTTAAAGGCATTTGAGCCTTATACATTTTATTTTCTAAAATAAATTATGAGACAGTTAACTTCTTATGTTCTTCTATTTCTAATAGTGACCAAATCTGTCATCAGTAATAAAAGCCTACATTAAGAGCACAGCAAGACAAAAGTTAAATGCTATTTCAAAACTATCAGAGTAGGAAACCTGAAACTATATGGAAATAACTGAAAATCAAGTTTTCCATACCCATAGTTCCATTACATATTTCCATGTGTTTTTTAAACTGCAGAAGTATATGGGACAGCCTTGGGGGTACAGGTGGAAATTACAAAAAATTTTGAAACTGTTTTAACCTAATCAAGTTTAATTGGTGCTGCCTGGAAAGTCTCAGTTCTGTATCTTTCTCTGATATCAGAAATACCATTATGAGTGTGTTGAGACTTCCAACATAAACCTCCATTCCAACCAACATGGAAATGTGTTTAAAATAAACGCTTTGAAATTTTTCATTTCCTTTTTTTGCCGAAGGTGTTTTTGGCCTGGCTTGAGATACATTCTTTCATTCTCAGAATAAGCATGAAACAAAGAGGCTTAACAATAAATTTCAGGCTTTGCTTTTGCTCTCTTTGCACGAGTGTTGATGGTCAAAACGAAAAATTCTTGAACGTGGAAATGTTAAGTTAAATGTGCCACTGGTTCATGCAGACAAGCACTGCAGAGAGCTCCTGAATCTCCTTTTTCATCCTGAGATATCAGTGGATGTGGGGGCTGGAGCCCTGCCCTGCTGAGCACTTTCCATACCAGTGTAGGTAGCTTTAAAACAACATCAAAAACCTGCTTTGCATGTGTGCACTGTAAAATTCCTGCTGCTTTTAAAGGTTCAGTAGTTATTAACAAGGTACAATACCATAAAGGTAGTATTTTGTAGAACACAGCATAGCTTCTTGTGTTGGTCCTTACCAGCTTTTGCTGTTTGACTGTGAGGATTTTGGCTTATGTAACTGGTAACAGTCCATGAAGTTGATCTGAAGATTTATCTCTTGAGGTTGATGCTTTGATTTTCTTCCTTTCCCCCCACCCCCAAATGTCAAGCCCACCTCATTTTTGGGCCATCACTCTGCATTCACTTCCTCCTACCTGCACCTTGCTGCTTCCTGGGAAGGTCTGACACTCCCCAGTCATCACTGAACATGCTGTGCTTTTGCAACAGTACTTGTGGTGCTCTTACAGCATGGGAGAATGGAAATGCCCTGAGTTTAATTACGTGCAGAAAGTAAGCTTTTTGGACAAAACACTTAGTGACTGTGCCTAAACCCAGGGTAACAACAGGTAACAAGCACAATGAAAACATTTCCCTTTTATATCTCAGCCTAGAATGAAAGAGAAAAGATCCATGAAAGGGCAAGCTCCCAAGAATAACTTCCTTAATGACCTGGAAGCTATCTTTCTGCGTAAACCATTACTAAATTACTTCTCTTTGTTCTAAATTACTTTTTGTTTATGAGCTTGTTTTAGTGGCTTAACAGAACCAGGCTTAAAATCAAAGTTGCTGTTTCCGTCTTTGATGCCAAAAAGTTGGCTGCCCTTGAATGGGGGTCAGATGCTGCAAAACACTGAGCTGCTTCCCTGTGGTACAGAGTTCCTCAGCTACTTTTTGAATCCACTGAGAGCTGGGGAGACAGCAAATTGCATTACAGTACTAATGAACAAAAATTTGTCCCCGTGATATATAAAATAATGGCAATCACTAAAATTATCTTAAACTATTCAGAGTATTCATGCTGACTCTGCTCAGCACTGTGAGCTCAGTACTACCTAAGAAAATGCATTGGCAACTCCAGTCTTTGGGAGCTATGGAGGAAAACTGAAGTATAGCCTCACACATTTCCTTTGCACATGTGAAGATAACTTTTTATCTTGGTTGTTACCTCTCTGGGCTTTTGGAAAAAGTAATTTTTTCATCTGTGCTCAATTAATGTACTTACAAATAAACCATAGCCTACTGAAGGAGTAAATTCCTTTCTCATAGATGCTGTTGTACATCTACAACTGCACTGATATTCACTTTTGTAGACTGAATGCAAAATTTGCCCATTTGTCCTTTAAACTTTAATTGATTTTTTTTTATAATCTTCTTCTTCAGTAAATTAAAAGTTAGTAGAAGTTCATTTCTTTTCCAATAGAATTGACAAAGTATCATGGTCTTACAGGTTTTGAATGCTCTGGATGAATTGGGTGATTTTCTACATCTGAAATATTCCCGGTATTCCAAGTCATCTCATCCTGAACTGTATGAAGAATCTAGACTTGAACTTGAAGATTAAGTTTTCCACCCGTGAAAAGAACATTATGATGCTATGAAAGGGCGGAAAACCTGAAAACTAAACAATACAAATGCATTTCTTCCCTTCTAAGGACAATTTTTCTCAGTTAATTGAAAGGAGGGGAGCTCAGGTGTTGCATCACTTTGTATCAAACTTCTGTATTCAAGAGACTGAAATATTGATACAGATTTGCCTCCCCAGGAGATCTGTCCTTTTTAAGGTATTTCTGATGCACCATGAATGCATCCATTGATCCAGTTGCTAACGTACAGCTTTTGATATGGCCCTTTTTTATGAAGAGGCTTCAGATAGTCTTAATTGTGACTGAAATAATAAAGTTTAAAAAGTTAATAGATTCCAGTGTAATATAGCTGAGCTTCATCAGTGAGACTGATCTGTTAAAGAGCATAAATCGAGATGCCGGTGTGGACTGCTACAAAGGAATGAGCAGAAAGTGACTTCTTTAACTAAGTTTCACTATCATGCATTTCTCCAAGGACAGAAAGTGTTAGAAAAAGGCTGATGCTGAGAACAAGAAAAGTGGCCTGATGAGATCATATATTTTTGACAGCAGGTAATGAGAAAGGGAAAATTCCTTCCCTCCACGGACCTTTTCTCGGTCACCTAAATGCACTATAAACTTTGAATTGTACAAAAATTTGGGCTTAAACATAAACAGAAATGTTTTTCTGCCAAATCATTTGACCTACAACCTATCACATCTTATCACAACTTAGGTTCTTCCGCAGGCTTGCTCCCTTTTTGTGGGGCAGTTCTAAATAATTTTAATAAACATTTAACTTTCCCATAAAAACTTTATTCAGATACTTACAGTTCACAAACTGCAGATGACATTTGTGGGCTCATTCCTAAGTTTCTTGAACTACTTATGGGCCTCATAAATTCACTAACAAGTACATAATGCTGAAGCTGTTACTTATGCAGAATGTGAAGTTCAAGATACCATAAGCAGTTCTGCCACCTGCTAAACAGAAAACTTCACCATTTCTATACATGATGCAGTCATTCATGAAATAACATTTCTTGAAATATTTTCATCTGTTTTATGCATGTCAGGGGTTGTTCTGTCCAGGGGTGTTTTTGAGTCATCTGTTTTTCAAATAATTATCATATCTTCTGAAGAAGAAGATGCCCTTGTTCCCTTGTCCCCTTGTCCACTGCCCGAGTGACAAATGCTCAAGGCTACCTGAAGGAACTGTTCCAGCCAACAGTTTGCCTGCAATGCCAGAAGACACAAGCATCAGGGTTGTGTGGGCTGAGTTGCTGGAAGGAGTTTGGAAGTTTTTTCCTTTTGGTTTTTTTTTTCCCAGCATCGAAAAGCAGTTCTGCAGCTTTAAGAATGAACTCCAAACAATTCCGCACTATCAAATGTCATTGTAAACACATCAGATGAGAGATGTTTAGCTTTCTGTTGCACAGATGTACCACACTTTCATGTTCTCTTGAAAGCTGTGGTGTAAACTTAACCCACAGCTGCAATATTAGATTTAAGAACAGAACAATTAAATTACACTATATTACTCCCTGCTTGTTAAAGCAGCTTTCAGGATATAACAAGGCTGACTGATTATGAGGGCCCATTTTTTGTTGGATTTTTGTTGTTGTTGTTGCTGTGCACGTTAATAAAAATCCAGTGGTGCTATAACTTTAAAAATTGATTACAACACATTCCGTAATACCAAATGTCAGCTTTAGGAAATATTTGTCAAGGGCTGGGGGAGGACTAAGTGGTGTTTCATGTGATTCTTCACTGTGGTAATGGACTTGAAAAGCACTGCAGAGGTTCAGGGGAGCTGTGTTTGTGGATAAGAGCAAACTCACTGTACAAATATTTAAATACTTGAGCACAGGACAAGGAGAAATTAGGAAACATGAACTTCATCTCTGAGTAACCTGGCAGTTTGTGGTGCACAGCTGTGTTACATGCAGGGTGAGTGCACTTACTGTGAAAGGAGATTGGTTGAAAAGTTTCTGCAACCTGTTCCTTGAGGAAAAGTACTGGATTTGATATATTGCTTTTTGATCTCTGTTGTTGAACTTCTGCGGCCAGATCCTCAGTTGACTTCTGACCTTCCATTTTGGGGTATACAGCCATAGTTTATATTTCAGCAAACATTATTACATGTACTGTTGCAGGCAACACGCTATTTCCCTCAAAGAGAGGCCTGAGATTGATTAAACTACAGAGTGATCACTTTCTTTACCCCAATAGGGGAATGTTTTCAGTCTAAAGCCAGATTCTTCCTGCCCTCAGAACATTACTCTCACTCATATTAAGGAGACAGGACAGCTATGTTTTTAGAGACTGTCAGTTGATTTATTATGTGCTCCCTTCTGATTTCTTCCATCCCTTACACACCAGAGAAAGTACAGACTGACTACCCCTGGGCTCAGGGAACATCTCTGCTCCACTTGTGCAATAATACAACTCCCAGGAACTTCAGTCTTCTAGATTTTCCCCATGAGGTTTATAGTCTGGCACTTGCTTTTCTAACAGTATGGAGTTTTTCCTGTTTACCTCAATTTTTATAAGATTTAGAGTTGATCAGCATTTGAAGACTCTCTTTTAGCTGGTGTCTGAAAAAATCAGCTAGAGTACTCCTTAGGGAATTTGCACCTCTAGCACAGGATCATGTACTTGCTAGAATGTGCTCCCTCTTCAGGCTTGCATGTTCTTGGAAAACATAGTTCTCTCCAATTGCTTTAGAAGGTTTTGAAGAGCTGCTTTCCATTAAAAAAAATGCTCAAGTTGTCATATTTTAATCCAGTGGATACATTAAGTGTAACTACACTAATTTTTTGTGGGCAAGCTGCATCCTGTTACCTTATGTAAAATCTTGATTGACCTTTATGATATGGAAAAACTTTAGAGTTTTTGCTTGACAGGGAAACTGAATTCTTTGCCCTTTCCTGCAACTTTATCCTTCCTCATCTTTTAGAAAGTCTTCATCTCCTGAGCTTATCAAACTTGTCAAGGTGGTTTTCCCCTCCACTTCTGTCTTTTTCTATTATTCTCTCTGTTCTGCTGTTCTCTGTTGGGGGAAAGACAGGCAGCTGCAGAGGACCGGAGTGTAACAGTTTGGCTTTCTGGGCATAGCCTCACTGCCTGCTTTTCCCGGTATTCTTATCAGCTCTTGCAGACTTTAATCTTTCCTTTTCAAGCAAAAAAAGTTGTCTGCAATTCTTATGATGAACCAAATCTGAACTGCCCAAGCTGTCGAACCAAGAATGGGCTTGTTCTGTCATTTGTGCAGGTGTAGATCAGGTTAAGTCTTGCTTTGAAGTCAATACTGTTGGTTTAAAAGTGCAATTCATTACTAGTACAATTTACAACTAGTACTATTTAAAAATAGTACAATTGTGAGAGGAACCTGTCAGTGTGAGTTGAGCTGCCTGCATTTGTTTCAGAAGGTTTGAACACTGGTGTCTCTGGACTGTTTCACAGCCGCTGCTCTTCACAGGGAACCAAGATATGGAATTGATCTGTTCAAGGTAGGATTTCAGCTGGGTTTTATTTTCTTTTTTTTTTTTCCAAAATGTTTGGTTGAAGGTGTGTTGCATATTTCCCTGTCCTGCTGAGACAAGGAACAAAGAAGTGATGTAAGAAAAGCAGTCTGTACTAATGGTGTTTATGTACTTCCCAGCCTACTTTGAAATCCAATAGAGATTCTCTAATATATTATCTGCTTTTTATTTGTGCATGAAGTTTAACTGCTCTTCAATTTAAAACATAGATTATGATCAAATTTTAAAGACACCACACCACCAGCTGAGAAATGGCATATGTCATGCCATGATTGGCAGCTGAACATTTGAGCCTCCAGATGCCTTCAAAAACAGCATCTAGATGTTTCCCTCATTTGCTCCCACATCCAGGGTGGTTTGTACTCCCTGCAGATCAGTCACAAGATGATGAGAACTCACTTTATCCATTTCAGAGACTTGTCAAGATGGTCCCAAAACCAACATCCACCTGACCACAGAAAATAATAGTTCAGCACCATCGGAGCAGGAGTCCAGGGCCTGAGTCAGACTGGTTGCTCAGCACTTACTGAAGAGGGGAGTGTGTTCCCACAGATGTAGCATTTCATTGACAAGTGGCATAGGGAAGCAAAGATAAATCCACTTATATCACGTGCTAACCAAACGAAAAGTGTAAGTATAGAGGCACAGCATCTGGTAGACCTGGAGACTTGGACTAGATCCAGTTGTGTACAGAGACTTTTTGATCCAGCTGTGCAAGCATTAAAGGAGTTGTTAAATCTTCTTAAGCAGCTAGGTGGAATAGTGGAAAACATGCTCTTTAATATCAAAATAGTGACTTTGAAGGAGGCAAACAGAGACATTCCACCGCCTGTGTTGCTCCAGTTTGTTTATGAAGAGAAGGAAGGGTAGATAGCCTGCCATAGCAGGTGACCCTGACACTTTGTACTCTATTCATAGAACCTTTTCTGAGAGTCACTTCTGCCAGATGCTGTGCTAGGGCCCAAAACTGTTAATTGTTATCAATATACCCAAATTCCACAGCTTGTACTGCAGGGGTGGCCAGGGTTGCTTGAGCCATCAGCTATAGCAAGCTGTGCTATAGCTGGTGCTAGAAATTACTAGGAGATTGTTTGAGTGACAAGAGTGCACAGAATCACTGATGATTGGAATACCCTTATTGGGCATCACTGCTGCTGGGACTGCCTGTGCTGAGGTGACAAGTGCCTGTGCTGCTCTGCCAGGCATACCTGATGTGGCTCCAGGACAGGCATGAGAGTCTGTCTTCATCTTTGCAAATGCAGGACTTGGCCTGCAGGTCACTCCAGCAGATGAGCTTCTTTCTGGCAATTCAGCTCAGCCAGAAGCCAGGAAAGCAGGACTCTGTAGGAACTCTGGAAAATCAGTTGTCACAAGTCAAGTACTTGCAGGAACAGAGAAATGCTGATGTGTGTGATGGAGCAATGGTGCTTTGCTGTTGTTTCCATTGAAATTGTCTCAAGGAATTTGCTATGGACATGAGCTGACTCTGCTATCCTGTGGGTGGACCAGAGTATTTGTATATTCCAGTTCCTAGAGCTCAGAACTGATCACTCATACCATGATGTGCCACCAAGTTTGTTGCTCTGATCTTTGGTATCTCCGTCTCACCAGTTCAGAGCACAGCATGGAGGGACCCGCTGAGCCTGTTGGGTTCCTTGTCCATTTACCTCTCAAGCAGCTGCTCTGGAATGCACAGGAGTGATTAAATCAGTGGGGACATTTCAAAAGCATAGCTTCTCCTGAGCCTTTCCTCCTGCTCTGACACAAGGATTGTGTCCTCTTGTGCTCTGCTCTCCCCTTATTACCACACAAACGTTGTGATGTCTTGGCTCCCTTTAACATTCAGGGGAATCTGAACATTCTCAAAAAATGATGTAACAGATTCAAAGGAGAAGGAAAGGGAAAGGGAAAGGGAAAGGGAAAGGGAAAGGGAAAGGGAAAGGGAAAGGGAAAGGGAAAGGGAAAGGGAAAGGGAAAGGGAAAGGGAAAGGGAAAGGGAAAGGGAAAGGGAAAGGGAAAGGGAAAGGGAAAGGAAAGGAAAGGAAAGGAAAGGAAAGGAAAGGAAAGGAAAGGAAAGGAAAGGAAAGGAAAGGAAAGGAAAGGAAAGGAAAGGAAAGGAAAGGAAAGGAAAGGAAAGGAAAAAGGAAAGCCTTATCCCCTGCTCCTCTAACAAACTGGGTGCAATTACTAATAAACTCCCAAAACATGCTACTGGAACTAGGACTCAGGGTAGGACAAAGAAACCATAAACCATGCTTATGTTGAACAGACTCCAGTACCTTTGTAAACCCCTATAAATCATTCTCACTGAGCCCAGCACAATTCTAATCTGTCCTACTCTACTGCAAAAAACTACATGTTAGGGACAATACTGGAGCTATTTTTGGATAAGAAAATAATCCTATGGACCTGAAAGGTATTAAAACCTCAATAAAGCCTAGAGACCAGAGCCACTTGAAAGCCTCCACCCCGAGAGACATTACGAAGTCAAGCAACATTGCTACTGACTGCTTTATCCCAATACAGAGTAAGCAAAACTAAAATGCAATCAGAACAGGTTTTTTCCACTTTCTCGAGGTACACATTGGGTGCCAAAAATTGTATTTGTCCTGGTTTAGGCCAATTTTGGGAGAAAAACCTCTAAAGGCGTTTCCTCTAGAAAAACAAAGTCAAGTGGCCCCTCCCCCAATGGGTTCGGGAAAAAGATTTCCATGGAGAAAAGTGGAAAAAACTGTTTATTTAATAGACAAATCATTTACTAGCACAAAAAAATGAACAATATTAAACAATATGAGCTCTTGCCGCTCCAAAAGGTCTCAAACTCAAAGCCCCTCTCTGGGCTGCAGCTCAGCTCCCTCAGTCTCTGATCAGTCCCTCTGGCACTGGAAATGCCACAGCCCAGGCTGGGTTCAGTGGCCACAGGTGTGAGCTGCTGCTGCTCTTCTGGGTATTCAGTCCAGAGCAGGTTTGAGCAGGTCCAAAGAAAAGGACACAGCTACTCTCAGAGTGGCCAGAAGAGGCATGATATTTTTTATTGTTCCAGGGCCATCTAGTTACACTTTTGGCATTTCCTGATGTGCTGAACATCCTGGTACAAATTCTCTGACCCTCACTGCATACTCCAATACCCATAGTTTAAAATCTGCTCAATGAACCACTGTAACCTAAGAATTAGAGCTGTAAACTGCATACAAGAGACCCAGTTCTGATCTGCCTCTGTTCTGCCATGCAATTGCAGATGAGAAACAAGTGTTCCTTGCCTCATTTCTATCCCTCTATAGAACTCTGATAGCAACCCTAATTTGTTTGTAAAACAATAAGTTGAACTGATGAGAAAAGCTAAAAGAGTGAAATGTTGCTATTATCTGAGTTATCTTTTAATTTCTACATCTCAAAATGTCTCCATTAATCTTGTAAAAGTCATAAGTACTCTGTTTACGAGACCTAGTGTATGAAACAGTACAATGATGAAGACTAATTATAAATCATAGAAAAAAATTCTGGTAAACAGATTCCTTTAACATTTCCATTCTGTGCAGGCTTTGTCAGTGTCTTACAGCAATGATGCCAGTTGGATTAGAAAGCTTTTTAAAATGTGAATCTATCTTTTCAAAGATTTGTAGCCAAGCCTTTCCAGTTTGTTAAAATGTAATTAGTGTCTGCTTGTTAATATAATGTTCATTGATTTTTAAAGTACACAGACTTCAAAGCTAGAAACAAATAAATAAAAAGGGGGATAATTTAAACCAGAGTGGAACAGCTTGGACAGTTTTACTCTTTTTTTGCCAGGATCCCAAAGCTGTTGTGTTCAAACAATGCCACAGTTTCAGTGGAAATGTGAAGATTAAATCCAAACCCTGCATGTCAGCTTTTTTTGTAAATGACTATCCAGGATTTCAATAAAATGTCCAGCCGCAACAGATTATGTTGCAGGGATTTTTATTGTCTAAGAGTTTGTGATAGTCTTCTGTTTTCTCTAACATATATTATAATCCAGTGCACCTAGCAAGAATCCATGGAATTTTGGTACCTAATTCAGTTATGCTCTTCTGAAGAATAATTTGAAAGGGACAAAAGAGGAAAGGGTTCACAGGATGACGGATGGTTGCAGCATCTCCCAGTTTCACATCCAGGTGGTATGGCACAAGATGGAAGGTATATAAATATAGAACATAATTTGACCACACCCATGGAAATTATGCCAGTGCAAAAAAGACAAGTGGACATAACTTGAAATTCAGACAGAAATTCAAAGACATGATTGAGGAATACCCTGAGAAGAGAGCAGAAGCAACACTAGCACTCAACTCCTCAATAAGAAGGTGACCTTGAGAACAAAAAGATGAAAAGGGATATCCATGGGACAACTCTAGCCAAGGGTAGGAGAGAGGATGAAATTAGCTAGTGTGGGAGAGATGAAGCTGAGCAACAAATTTATTCAGCTAGACAAGGAAGACAATTCAGAGGCAAAGAAGAAAGAAAGGGAAACTACCCTCCAAAGACCAAATGACATGGCAGTGGAGAAGCCAGGACTGAGAGAGTGAAGAATGAAGGGGGAAATAAAAGACAGACATTTTCACACAAGAGGGAGAAAAGATCCCACCACACCAGTGGTGTCCATGGACACAGACAGGTTCCTTGGTGGTTTGGAACATGGGAGGAACAATGTGGAGCCAAAAAGCAGGGAGATGCCTTGTTCTTCCATGAGTAGGAATGTTAGAGGTGAACCAAGGGCAAAGAAAGTAAGGAAACTGGTGGAATAAAGGATTGTCTTCTATTCAGGACAAGTGATACTGTGGAAACAGGTGAAGAACAACCCCAACAGAGAGAAGACAGTGCTTTAAGTTACAGATGCTCCAGATTTTCTTCCACAAAACTCTTCCAGTCCCAATGGAAATGATAAGCTAATAAAAAAAACTATATTTCCTCAGAACTAGCTGTGTGAAGGAAGCTGCTGAGAGGCAAGCAGCTAAAGCTGATTCCTCTGAGGGCAGGCTGCATTTGGCTGCTTGTGATACTTGCCTTCCAGAACTGAAAATTGCAGTGAGTAAAGCCAGATTTCAAGTGTAAACCAGTGAGATAGGGGCACAGGAGCCCTGTCTGATTTTTATGCTGGGTTTTATCAGATGGGTAAAGGAATGTTCAGGTGGTGAATATAGCAAGTGGCAATGGACCCCGAAGGAAGAAAGGAATACTGGCAAGAAAGTATTCATTCTGTGCTGGTCCCAATACATGAAGATGGGATTCTTTTTCCCTGAAGGTTTTGGAATTGCCATTCACTTTATAATTGGAGGTTTGCTGTGTGATGCCATCCATGGTGAACACAGAAGGAGTTCAGCTGTGTGATGACATCTTAAGCTTTGTATACAATATAGGTGCTCTGGTTTCTATCTGTTCTTTAAAAATTAATAGGCCACCTAATTTTTGAAATGACTGCACAGTCATGCTAGACAGTACTGACAGGAAATGTGGTCAGTGAAAACACTTTACCAAGTGGTAAAAAAGAAAGTGTAAAAGGATGAAGGGGAATCACTGAGTTCAGGATTGCCCAATAGCTTTAGAAACCACTGTTATCCCATGAGGCAGCAGACATGTTTTGGCTTAAGCCATTTCAATAATAAATCTCCATTACCTTGGTTTGCTTTGACTTAACCAAGCTATGGATAAAAGCACCTCAGTAGGCAGATAGGAGATACAAGATCATAAATTACTGCAAAGTTTAGGTGATGGTAACTTTCAAAACTGCTGACCACGAGGGAGCAGCAACTGCTTTCTTTGCTACTTCTGAAGCCAACAGGACTATTTGTCCATGGAGTTGCCCATGGATGCAGCACACTGAGTATGTTTCTCATCTACCTATGGTTAAATCATCATCAGCCAAAACAAGTCACTGGAGAGTGGAGAGCCCATAAGTTTTGAATGTGGGTTCAGGTTCTTCTCTAAGTCAGATTTTAATTTCATGATCATCTTATAGATTTGCATCTCAGGGATGTCACTGGGGAGAGTCCTGGGAAAGAAGAGTGGGCAGGGAGAATCTTCTTGACCTCACAACTTATGTAGTCCTCTCAATCTGTGATAAGAAGTAAGCTCAGATCTTGTAGGCACAGGACAAGCAGCAAGGAAAAACAATGCTGTGGTAAAAAAGCACCAAGTGAGAGCTCTGAAACATCTACCTGAGAGAAATAGTGCAAATAAAATGAAAGCAAATTGTAATGGGTCTGCTAGCTGTAAAAAGAGAAGCAAAAAATTGAGTCATGACTTAGTGAAGTTTACTGCTTATGGCAGCAACAAAATAAAGTTGATGATTTGACTATGAATGTATCCTGAAGAGCCCAACACAGTGGCAGAGGTGTGATGGAACACAGCCTGCAACACTGAGATGTACACAGCATATGGGTGAGAAACCAGGAAAAATAAGAGGCAATTTTGGAAAGACTTAAAATAATTGAGGGGAGGGGAAATAGCCTGGATCCAAATACCCTAAAAAAAATTGATACAGTGGAGCTGAAGACCTAGAGAAGTATCAATCCTCTAGGATCAAGAGCTTGCTTAGGCAACAAACAATGGAAATTTTCCCATGGAAGAGAAGTTGTAGGGTGGGTCACAATCAGTCAGCAAAGGATTAGATAACGCACTCAGGGGAACAAGGCAGGGATAAAGTGATGCTAGGTGTATGGGGTTGGATTTGAGGACCCATAAGGCCCTGTCCAGCTTAATCATCTACGATTCCATGGAGACAGCAATGAAAGACCTCCATTGTCTCCCTGAGAACTAATTTCGCTAGGTATGGGCTTAGGTCACGTATTACAAATAGGTCTCTTTTATGTAGGATTCTACTTTGGAGTTTGCAGTGATTGATGGATTCATTAAAACGTCATCACTGCAAGGGACAAGAATTTTTTGTTTAAAAATAAATAAATGACGACAGAAACAGCCAAAGA